AATTGCGCTCCAAGGCGACGCCGATCGAAAAGTACATTTACATGCAGAGCATGCAGGACCGCAACGAGCAGCTCTACTACCGCATGCTCGCGCAACACACGCACGAGCTCATGCCGATTGTGTACACGCCGACGGTCGGCCAGGCCTGCACAGAGTTTAGCCACATTTACCGCCAGACGCCGCGCGGCCTGTACATCTCGATCAACGACCTTGGGCACGTGCGCGAGATCCTCGACAACTGGCCCGAGGAGGACATCCGCGCGATCGTCTTTACGGACGGCGAGCGCATTCTCGGCCTCGGCGACCTCGGTCTCAACGGCATGGGCATCCCGATCGGCAAGCTCGCGCTCTACACGGCGTGCGCGGGCGTCCACCCCAAGTACTGCCTCCCCGTCACGATCGACGTGGGCACCAACACGCAGAGCATCCTCGACGACCCGTTCTACATGGGCCTGCGCCAGAAGCGCGACCGGTCGTCGGCGTACGACGAGCTCATTGACGAGTTTATGAACGAGGCCAAGACCAAGTACGGCCCGCAGGTGCTGCTCCAGTTTGAAGATTTTGGCAACACGAACGCGTTCCGCCTCCTCCACAAGTACCAGGAGACGCATTGCACGTTCAACGACGACATCCAGGGCACGGCCTCGGTCGTCCTCGGCGGTCTTTTCGCGGCCGAAGAGATGACGCAGAAGCGCCTCTCGGAGCACACGTTTGTCTTTATGGGCGCGGGCGAGGCTGGCACGGGTATCGCCGACCTCATCGCGATGGCCATCACGCAGGAAGACCCGGAGAAGAGCATTGAGGATGCGCGCCGCCAGATCTCGCTCGTTGACTCCAAGGGCCTCGTCGTCGCGAGCCGCCTCGAAGAGCTCCAGCACCACAAGATCAACTACGCCCACGACGTCGAGCCGGCGACGACCTTGATCGAGACCATTGAGCGCGTCCGCCCGTCCGTGCTCATTGGCGTGTGCACGATCGCCAAGACCTTCAACCAGGAGGTCTGCGAGAAAATGGCCGAGCTCAACGAGCGCCCCGTCATCTTTGCCCTCAGCAACCCGACCTCCAAGGCCGAGTGCACGGCCGAAGAGGCCTACAACTGGACCAACGGCCGCTGCGTCTTTGCGAGCGGGTCCCCGTTCGACCCGGTGACGTTCAACGACCAGGTCTTCGTCCCGGGCCAGGGCAACAACGCGTACGTCTTCCCAGGCATCGGCCTTGGCGTCGTCGCGGCCGGCCTCACGCGCGTCGATGACACGATCATGCTTGTTGCGGCGCGCACGCTCGCGGACCGCGTCACGCAAGAGGACCTCGCGACGGGTAGCGTGTACCCGCCGCTCTCCAAGATCCGCGAGGTCTCGCTGTACATTGCCGCGGCCGTCGCCAAGTACGGCTTCAAGCAGGGCTACGCGACCGTCGACGAACCGTCGAGCTGGACCGAGCTGTGCCAAAACGCCATGTACAACCCGTAATTTTGCCGTAATTCAACTTTTTGCATGTCTTTTCTACGTCGTGTTGAGACCCGGTTGGAAGTCGCTCGACTGTAGCTAATGTAGTAGTACGCTTCCTTGATGAGGATGCAGGTCGACTGTGGGCTGGCGTCTACGGCAGGAGGCGCTCAATGAGCTCCTTTTGCGCGTCCGAGAGCTGCGACGGGAACTGGATGCGGTGCAGAACGTGGAGGTCGCCGGCGTTGGAGGGAAAGTTGTGGTGCGGCATGCCTTCGCCATGGAGCGTGCGCACTTGGAATGGCATGGTGACGTCGTCGGCGTCGATCGTGACGCGGCGGCCGTCGAGGTGCACGAGGTCTTTCTCAAACCCCAAGAGCGCGTCACGAAGCGAGACAGTGATCTCCGTATGGAGGTCGTCGCCCGCACGCCTACAGAGTACTACGTGAGGACGCGCCGGAAACACTCTTTCAACCGGAACGTCTTGTGCGGCTGCTGGACGAGACGCATGATGACGTTGCCCGGAATCATACCGGGGCGCTGCTCGCTCTCGCGCTCAAAGACAATCTCATGGTTGGACGGCATGCCCCGTTCGATGACGCCCGTGATGATCTTCTCTTCCGCGACCACCTTGTTGCCGTGGCAGTGCGGGCACTTATGCTTGAACGTCTTGCCTTTCCCGCCACACTTGGGACACTGCTGCTGCATTTGCACCGTAAAGCCTACACGACGAGGATTGGTATGGAGGAAGAAGTGGATCGTTTGGCGTACCCGGGCCCATTTGTTGCTGGACGAGCACGATGCCTTGGCCACCGCACGTCTTGCATGGCTTGGTCTGCACGCTCGCCGCATAAGCATCGCCGATAGCGTTCATGTCGTACCTTGCCATCCTTGGCGCCGCTGCCGCGGCACTTGCGGCAAATGACGTTCTTCATGAAGCGCGCTTGCTTTTCGGCGCCGTTGTAGAGCTCCTCAAGCGTGACGGGAATATCTACAGTCGCGTCTGGGCCGCGCGGCTTGCCACCGCCACCGCCAAAGAACGCATCTATCACAGGGCTCGCGCTGCGCTCTAGATAGGAACGAGCATACCAAAAGGACTCGCGGGGCGGCCCGCCTGGTTGGTGTGGCGCTCCAAGCCCTCTTCGCCTTCGAGGTCGTAGATGTCCCGCGTCTCGACGTTCGAGAGCACTTCGTAGGCTCGCGAAATCTTCTGGAACTTGGCCTCGGCGTCTGCGTTCCCCGGGTTCTTGTCAGGATGGTACTGCAAGCTCAGGCGGCGGTACGCCTTCTTGATGTCGCCCTCGGACGCGTCCATGCCCAAGCCCAAGACTACACATGCAGGTCGCATCTCGTGCCGGAGGATGGATCGGCGTCGTACTGTCATAGTAGTCGTCGTGATCATGGTGGTGATGGTGGTGGTCATGGGCCAGCACGAGCATGAGGCCGGCCAGTAGCGCGAACAGGTAGACGATCAGCCGCATGACCGAAAGGAAGGCAACTCGAAAATGACGGGGCCACGTTTCGCGAAAAGCTCGGAAGATATCCGAATCCATCCGGATACGTAAACACGCACCCTTGTCTTCAATCCGCACCCGTTTTCCAAAAGCGCACCGTTTTGGTGTGATGGGCATGAAAGTGCACCCGACGCGATCGCACTTTGGCGCTGTGGGGTTGCATACACATGCGTATCGCTGCTGCGTATATTACACGTGCGCCCGAGTGTAATGGACGCACTCGGTCTGTGCTTGCTCTTGTCCACGAGTGGCTGGATTCGGCGACGTGTGTCTTGCTGCCGTCGCGCCAAACTGGCTCGCGACGCTGGCGCCAGCCATCTCGCACCACGGTCGCGCCACGTCAATAGCCCCTCGATGCTACTCCTCCGCGACTGCGATGACAGCACGTATATCCTCACGCGGCAGAGTACAAACTGATGGAGAAGCTGCAGGCGTCCATCGTGCAAAGCGAGGAGCCCTCCTGCGTGACGGCTGTCTTGATCGCCCAGCTCGCGTGTTTTTTAGTGACGGCCCTTGTTACCGGAAGTAGGGGGTCGGTCGTATTTTAAAACATCATGTACATGTATTACATACAAGTGGCAAGTGCTACTTAAAATATCGAAGGGGGGCGGTCGGGAAAAGAAGTGGCACGCCACAAAGCTTGATGCTGAAGTTACACACGAGAGGCGCCAGCTGGCGCTGGAAGCGTGCGATTCGGCCATTTTGCATTGCCTGTGCAATCGGTCCCCTTGCCACACTTTCATCCCCGGCCAGTTGACTCAGCATGCAGCATGCGGACCGGCCCGTACGACGGGGCAGCCTCCTGTCCCAGTCGTCCCACCGCAGCTCGCGCCGCGACGACGACGTGGTCGGGTCCTTTGTGAGCGACAGCGGCAGCTACGCGCGCTCGAGTCGGCGGCACCCGAGCCAGCGCGCGGTTGCGATGCCCGGGCAAGCGGCCGCGACCGGCCACTTGCAGACGCAGCAGATCCTGGCCAACTCGGGCCGCGCGAGCACATACAGGAATTCGACCACCGCGTCCGTTCTCAACACGACGACGCGCTCGGTGCAGTCGGGCGTCGCGATCTCGACCATGCTGTCGCTCGCGGCCGGCGTCGAAGACCTTGGCAACGTCCAGGAAGTCCACTGGGAAGGCCACGTGCGCAAGAAGGGCGACTGGCTCCCGCGCTGGGAGCCGCGCTACCTCGTGCTCGACGGCACGACGCTGACGTACTACAGCAAGCAGCACGACGCGCGGTCCGGCAAGAACCTCCGCGGCCGCATGGTGCTCACGTACGTTGGGCCCGACTTCAAGAGCAAGAAAGCCCATGGCTTCATGATCGAGACCAAAGGCCACAAGCGTTTCCACCTCTGCTGCGCGACCGAGCTCGAGAAAGACATGTGGGTCGAGATGATGCAGACGGCGCTCGACGAAGCCAGCAGCGCGTCGACCAAGCCACCGCCGCCGCAAGACGATTTCATGTCGTCGCCTTCGTACGACCTGTCGCGGTCCGGGCCCGTCGTGCCCAAGAGTGCGACCCGCAGCGGGTACTCGCCGGCCTCGTCGATCACGCACACGACGTCGCTTGCGTCGCCCGTCAACGTGCGCGACTTTTACGACGCGATGCGCCAGCTCCTCCTCACGCACTCGTCGTCGGCGCAGTTTTTCCCCAAGCTCAGCCGCGACGTCTCGATCACGAGCAACTACGCGCCGAGCGTGCCGTTCTGGGGCGAGTACCACGGCTTGGACGGCGTCTTGCACTTCTTTTCGATTCTGTACGAGACGGTGGCCTTCACGTCCTTCTTCGTCACCGACGTGGCGCAGACGCAAGAGGGCTCGACGGCGATCGTGGTCGGGCGCGAGACGATGCGCAACAAGACCAACCACCGCAAGTTCACGCAGCAGTGGACGCACACGATCGAGTTCTCCAAGAACGGCCGCGTCAAGCACATCCACATCGCGGCCGACCCGGTCGCGGCCTCCGCCGTCTTTGGCTGCAACGCGACGTCGAGCCTGAGCCTCCCGATCGCCGCCGTGCTCGGGGCGGCCCACAGCGACACGCCGCCCGGCCGCATCCACGTGCATCTCGTCCGCGGCGACCAGATCGGCGGCGTCCACGACTTTGAAGAAGACTTGTGTACGAACGACAGCCTCCTCGAGACGCCCGGCGCAAAGTACATTGTGGATGTGAGCGTCATGGCCGACGCCGGCGGGTACCTCCCGACGGCGCTCCTCAAAGCCACGCACCACGTACAGACAGGCCGATCGAAGGACTCGTCGTCGTCGACCGAGCCCGAGTGGGACGCGCATTTGGTGGTCCCCTTTGGCGGCGCGACCCACGGCAAGCCGTGCTGCGTCGTCGTGCAGCTTTTCAAGGACCGTCGGCGCCGGCGCTCGAGCAATGCGCCGTCCATGGTGCTCTCGCCATTGGACGAAGAGAGTCCTTTGGACGAGTTGTCGACAGCGCCAAGGCCAACGACGGCATGGAGCTCATCGGTCTTGCCAAGGTCAACCTCGCACCGTTTCTCGCGCTCGCCAAGACGGACGACGGGTACTCGACCATGCCGCAGTGGTACACGCTCCTCGCGCCTGGCGACACCAAGTTTGCCGTCGGGCGGCTCGAGCTCAGCCTCTTCTTTGAAGAGGCGTCCGACCTGCTCGACGCCGAGTCCGACTACATGGTCTCGCCGTGCACCGAGGCGTCGTACCATTCGGACACCTCCTCGAACGTCTCGATCAACCGCCACAAGGCGTACCGAGACCGAGCGCGCAACAACGTCTCGTTCAACGTCGGCAACACGGCGTTTGACATCCCGAAGCGGTACCAGATGATCAAGGCGGTCGGGCAAGGCGCGTACGGCTGCGTCATCGCCGCCAGTGACACGGAGACGGGCCAGAGCCTCGCGATCAAGAACGTTCCGAACGCGTTCAACGACCTCGTCGACGCGAAGCGCATTCTGCGCGAGATCCGGCTCATGCGCCATTTGAACCACCCGTACTTGGTCAACCTCGTCGACCTCATTCGCCCGTCGTCCTTGCGCGAGTTTAACGACGTGTACATTGTGACGGACCTCATGGAAACCGATCTGCATCGGGTCATCAACTCGAACCAGTCGATCACGGACGACCACATTCAGTACTTTCTGTACCAGATGCTGGTCGCGATCAAGTACGTGCACTCGGCCGACGTGCTGCACCGCGATCTGAAGCCGAGCAACATCCTCGTCAACTCGGACTGCGACGTCAAGCTCTGCGACTTTGGCCTCGCGCGCGGGATTTACGACCTCCCGCCGGACGCGGCCTTGACCGAGTACGTCGTGACGCGCTGGTACCGCGCGCCCGAGGTGCTTCTGACGTCCGCGTACGACAAGCCCATGGACGTGTGGGCGATCGGGTGCATCTTGGCCGAGATGATTGGCCGGCGACCGCTCTTCCCGGGCTCGGACTTTTTACATCAGCTCAAGATCATCCTCGACGTGGTCGGGACGCCGACGGACGAGGCGCAGATGGCGTTCATCACCAACCACCGCGCCAAGCGCTTCATTCTCAAGCAGCCGAAGAAGGCGCCCGTGCCCCTGACGTCGCTGTACCCGCGCGCGTCGCCGCTCTGCCTCGACCTCCTCGCCAAGATGCTCGTCTTCAACCCGCGCGAGCGCATCACGGTCGACGAAGCCCTCGGTCATCCGTACCTCGCGTCATCCGCGAGCCGTCGGTCGAGCAGACGTGCGTGAACGGCCCGTTCGACTTTGCGTTCGAAGACGCCGAGCTCACCAAGGACGCGCTGCAAGAGCTCATGTTCGAGGACGTCTGCGCCTTCCACCCCGAAGTCCTCGACAAGAGCCTCCGCCGAGCCGCCACGACCGTGTAATAGAGATGTAGTCCATATCGTATGTAGTAGAGTTGATCGTAGTATCTATCTGCTGCATCTTGCATCCACGTCGACCAGCGAGGATCGCATGATGGACACTTCCGAGGCAAGCTACGTCCATGCATCTTCTGCGTCCCATAGCAGCGTCCATGCACATCACACGTCTACCATCCATGCGCATGTTGGATGGTCGATGGTTGAAGCCATGGTGGCACGGTGGCGGATGCATCCACGGAGCCTTGGCGTCGCGTTGCTATCACCTTGCATCACGCGTACCTCGTCCTTCCATCCTCTTCCTCCATCCTCTTCACCCGTCCGCATCCTCCTCGTCCTCGTCCTCTATGCCCGGCGTCGACCATGCGCATGGACCTCCTCGACCGTAACATCCACGGGCGGCGATAACGCCCCGAACGCCAGCTAAAAACGACGAACATCGGGTCGCCAAAATAATATTCGATTTGGATTTGGCGTTTGTATGCCAAGCCGCGGCCACCGCAGAGTGGGTAATTAAATTTGCTGTACCGGTCCCACTTGGCTCCACGACACAAGAGACCCTGGCACCAGCTGCACTCAAGGTGACGACGACGACGATGGGCATGAGCCTCATGCAACCCTTCCTCGCGTAGAGCTTCGCCGCCATGAGTACATCGGGACCTGCTAGCACCGCCAATGGCATCAGCGAGAAGGACCTGCCCGAGCACGGACGAGACATGCTGCTAGGGGCGCTTAGCGGCGGGGGTCGCTGCCGCCGGCGCCGTCCAGCACGTCGTCGGTCAATGGATCAGAGCGCACGTCGTCCATGACGGGCCTCACGCGCCAAGCGTCAACGACGTCGACAACGTCAGAGCTCAAGTCGGTGCGTGGCCCGCCGACGCACGAGGTGCATTGGGAGGGTTACGTGCGCAAGAAGGGCGACTGGCTTCCGCGCTGGGAAGAGCGCTACCTCGTGCTCGACGGCGCGAGCCTTACGTACTACAACACCAAGGACGAAGCGCGCAGCGGCCGGAACCTCCGTGGCCGCATGATCATCACACGCGTTTTGCCCGAAAACTATGGCAAGGCCCATGGCTTTCTCATCGAGACGAAGGGCCACAAGCATTTCCATCTCTGCTGCACAACGGAGCTCGAGAAGGACATGTGGGTCGAGATGATGCAGGCAGCGATCGACGAAGGCATCTCGCACCCGCCGCACTTGACGACGCAGCAGTCGTCGGGCACGTTCGAAGCCACCGTCTCGTTCCAGGCGTCGCCGACGCAGGTCGACCTCCGCTCGTTCTACAGCGCGTTCCGGAAGCTCCTCATCTCGCACTCGTCGTCGCCGCAGTTTTTCCCCAAGCTCAGCCGCGACGTGGTCTTGACAAGCAATTACGCGCCGACCGTGCCGTTCTGGGGCGAGTACCACGGCTTGGACGGCGTCTTGCACTTCTTTTCGATTCTGTACGAGACGGTCGAGTTCACGTCCTTCTTCGTGACCGACATTGCGCAGGCCGCGCAGGGCTCGACCGCCGTCATCGCCGGCCGCGAGACGATGAAGAACAAGCACAACAACCGCAAGTTCACGCAGCAGTGGCAGCACACGATCGAGTTTGCGCCCGACGGCCGCGTCAAGAGCCTCACCATCACGGCCGACCCGGTCGCGGCGTCCGCGGTCTTTGGCTGCAACGCGACGTCGAGCCTGAGCCTCCCGATCGCGTCGGTCATTGGCAACACCAACCAAGACAACCCGGCCGGCGTCGTGCACGTGCACGTCCTCCGAGGCGAGCAGATCGGCGGCCTCAGCGACGACGACGAGACTGGCGTCGTCGTCCAGCGCCGCATCTTCCTCGGGCTCCGGCTCATCGTCGACGGCAAGACCAACGTGTATGCGCCGACGTCGTCGGCCAACTGCGTGAGCAAAACGGCCTGCTCGACGCTCGAAGCGTCGCCCGACCCCGTGTGGGACTCGCCGCACGAGCTCGCGTTCCAGGGCCTCAACCGCGGCAAGCCGTGCTTTATGCTCATCGAGGCGTGGGGCTTCGTCGACGAGAGCACGAAGGAGGAGCTCATTGGCGTCGCCAAAGTCAACCTCGCGCCGTTCCTCGCGCTCGCGAGCAGCTCGCGCTCGGTGCGCGAGAGCGTCGTGCACAGCGACATTGCGCGCGGGGCGGTGCCGCAGTGGTACACGCTCCTCTCGGCCTCGGAAACCAAGTTTTCCTGCGGCCGCGTCCAGCTGAGCATCTCGTTTGAGACCAAAAAAGACGCGATCAACGGGTCCGACTCGGAGGATCCGGATGCGGTGACGCCGACGCTGCGCCCGCTCACGGCCGTGGTCATGCCCCTCTCCAAGACAGTCCTCTCGAAGGAAAAGTCGTACCGGGACACGCGCCGCGACAACCACACGTTCCGCGTCGGCAACACGACGTTTGACATCCCGAAGCGGTACCAGATGATCAAGGCGGTCGGGCAAGGCGCGTACGGCTGCGTCATCGCCGCCAGCGACACGGAGACGGGCCAGAGCCTCGCGATCAAGAACGTTCCGAACGCGTTCAACGACCTCGTCGACGCCAAGCGCATTCTGCGCGAGATCCGGCTCATGCGCCATTTGAACCACCCGTACTTGGTCAACCTCGTCGACCTCATTCGCCCGTCGTCATTGCGCGAGTTTAACGACGTGTACATTGTGACCGACCTCATGGAAACCGATCTGCACCGCGTGATTCACTCGAACCAGTCGATCACGGACGACCACATTCAGTACTTTCTGTACCAGATGCTGGTCGCGATCAAGTACGTGCACTCGGCCGAAGTGCTGCACCGCGACCTGAAGCCGAGCAACATCCTCGTCAACTCGGACTGCGACGTCAAGCTCTGCGACTTTGGCCTCGCGCGCGGCGTGAACGGTGTCGACGCGGGCTTGACCGAGTACGTCGTGACACGCTGGTACCGCGCGCCGGAGCTCCTCCTCTCGTCCAAGTACGACAAGCCCATGGACGTGTGGGCGATCGGGTGCATCTTGGCCGAGATGATTGGCCGGCGGCCGCTCTTCCCTGGCCAGGACTACCTCCACCAGCTCAAGATCATCATGGACGTGGTCGGGTCGCCCGAAGAGGCGCAACTCGACTTTATCACCAACCCCAAGGCGAAGCGGTTCATCTTGCGGCAACCAAAGAAGCCACGCGTGCCGCTGTCGTCGATCTACCCGCGCGCCACGTCGCTCTGCCTCGACTTGCTCGAGAAGATGCTCAGCTTTGACCCGCGCACGCGCATCTCGATTGAGGAGGCGCTCGAACATCCGTACTTGACCCAAGTGCGCGACGCGTCGGTCGAGACGACGTGCCCGGTGCCGTTCGACTTTAGCTTTGAAGACTGCGAGCTCACGCGCAAGAAGCTGCAGGAGCTCATCTTTGAAGACGTCTGCCACTTCCACCCCGAGACGCTCGAGGAAGGCGGCAGTGGCGACGCCGTCGTGTAGGGTGTAGTAAAGAGAAAAGAACACGGGTCTATATTTGTACAAGCTGTAGCTGCTGGCGGATCGCACGGGCGTAGGCTGCAATGAGGTCGGCGTCGGTCGGGAACCGGCGCAAGCCTTGCATGAGCACGATCTCGCGGCGAATGGACGCCCCCGAGACCGGTAGCATCGGCGCCTTGGAGGCGGCAATCGCCAGGACGTCCTTGGCGTGCACCGAGTGCCGGATCTCTCGGGCGTCGGCGACGAGGCTGGCCATCATGGGCTGCCAGAGCGTCGGATCGCACGGACCATAGACGTCGAGACGGACACCGAACTGACGCTGGAGGCAGGTGCGCCACGCAGGGGCCGACGCCACTTGGTCGCGCCAAGAGCGACTCGTCGCCCCGAGACGGCCGAGCGACGCTGCGTCGAGGAAGGGAAGGACGCCGTCGTGGATTAGCGCTGCAGGAACGTTCTCCATCCCGCTGAGTTCGTATCTGAGTCAGACGAGAGTGGCGGGAGAGACTCTGTGTTGGCTGCGCGTAAAACGACCGACGTTTCAGTACAGAATGTACATTCTGTTTATGTTTAACGCGATTCTTGTCCCGTGTAAGGAAACTGAGTTACGTGGCGGCGAACTCGACGAGCTTGGTAAACTGCCCCACCGGGTTGGCGAGAAGCGCCGCCGGGGTGTCCCACTCGACGACGCGGCCGTGATCGAGCACGAGCACGCGGTCGCAGTCGAGGATCGTGTGCATACGGTGGGCGACGGTAAGCACGGTGGCGTCTTGAAAGACACTGCGCAGCGTCTACACACATACGTCGTCGCTGGTATCTCGAATCGAGTTGTACCTCTTGGACGATGGCTTCGGTGGCGTGGTCCATGCTGGCCGTCGCCTCGTCAATGCAGACGACCTTTGCTTTTCGCAAGACGGCGCGCGCGATGCCAACCAGCGCTGCTTGGCCGCGGCTCAGCTTGTCGTCGTTGTCGCTCAGCGGCGTCTCGAGCTGGAGCGGCCACGCCCGAACGACAGCGTCGAGGCAGCACCGCTGCAGCGCGTCCCAGATCGCCGCGTCGTCGGCGTCCTCGAACGGATCGAGATTCGATCGGAGCGTGCCGCGGAAGAGCATCGCTTCCTGCGGCACAAAACAGAGCGCGCTCCGGAGCGTCGTGAGCGCCATGGACGCAATGTCGACGTTGTCGATCGTGATGCGGCCCTCGTATGGCATCGCGCGGAAGAGCGCGTGTAGAAACGAGCTCTTGCCGGCGCCCGTGCGGCCGCAAATGCCGATCTTTTCCGCCGCTTGAACCGCGATCGTGAGCGGCCCGAGCGCACTTTTGTTCGCGTTGCCACTGTACGCGACGCGCACGTTGTCGTAGCGGATGACGCCGTGCCGGGGCCATTTTGGCAGCACCGGCGACGCGCCGTCGACTTCGGGTGATAGCGTCGAATATTCGAGGACGCGCTCGACCGAGATCATGTTTTGTTCGGTCGCAATGAAGCTCCCGAGGATCGCATTGCACTTGCCGACGATCGGAAGCGCGTAAATGAGGATGAGGCCGAGGGTCCCGGACGGTATCGGCGCCCCGAGGTGCGACGCGACGGCCGCGTAGACGCCGATGGCCGACGTGAGCACGACGCCGAGCGCATCGAGGCGCAGGCCAAACCATGCGCTCGCGTTCGCACCGAGAAAGCTCATCTTTTGCGACGTGTTGAGCAGACTCAGGTACTCTTGGTACCAGCGCATGTGGCACTGCAGGCCGCGGAGCACCGAGAGCCCGTGCAGCGTCGCGTGGAAGTGCATGAGCAGCGGCGACTGCGCGACCGCATCCAAGCGCCGCACGTGCCGCGACGTCGGTCGATACCACCTCTGGACTCGAGCATAGAGCAGCGAGAGCGGAAGCAAGAGCAGCAAGACGAGCGGCGTCGTCAGCAGCAGAATGCACAGCGTGCCGAGAATTTCAGCCGCGTCCTTGATGCAAATGTTCAAAATGAACGGCAGCGACTCGTCGACGCCGTACGTGTCACCGCTGAGCCGGTTCAAGATGCGCCCCGTCGGCGTGACGGTGAAGAACGACAATGGCGCGTGGAAGAGGTGCTGGACGAGTGATGCGTAGAGGCGGTTGGCGGCGCGGAGACCGCCGTAGGCAAAGAGGAAGGCGCGGCACGCCACCGCCGCAATGTTGGCGCCGGTGAGCACGAGGAGACCGTTCGCAAACGTCAGTGGCGGCATGGCATGACCCGAGACGTACGAGGCG